GTCTGAAGAGGGTATTCTATATATTCTGCTTTGTTTTGTTTTCTGTAAATTTTGTAGGTAAATATTTGCATAAAAATAAATACTTTGTATAAAAAGAATAGCATTCTAATTATTTTTTGTACTCTTTAACCGTCCCCACTCCCCACCTCCCCCACTACCATCTGCAGCCTCTAGTAAGCATCCTTCTATTCTCTATCTCCATTAATTCAGTTGTTTTTTATTTTTATATCCCATAAATAAGTAAGAACATGTGAAGTTTGTCTTTCTGTGCTTGGCTAATTTCACTTAACAAAATGACATCCAGTACCTCCATGTTGTAGCAAATGGCAGAATCTCATTCTCTTTTGTGGCTGAATAGTACTCCATTATGAATATGCACCATATTTCCTTTATCCATTCAGCTATTGATGGACACTTAGGTTGCTTCCAAATCTTGGCTATTGTGAACAATGCTGTAATAAACATGCAAGTGCAAATATCTCTTTGATACATAGATTTCCTTTCTTTGGGGTATATACCCAAACAGTGGGATTGCTAGATTGTATGGTAGCTCAAGTTTTCATTTATTGAGGAACTTCCAAACTGTTCCCTATAGTGGTTGTTTAATTTACATTCCTACCAACAGTGTACCAGTATGCCCTTTTCTTCACACCCTCATCAGCATTTTTATTGCCTATATTTTGAATAAAAGTGATTTTGACCAGGAGGAAATGATATTGTAGTTTTAATTTACATTTCTCTGATGACCACTAATGTTGAGCACCTTTTCATATGCCTGTTTGCCATTTCTATGTTTCTCTTTTGAGAAATGTCTGTTAACAGCTTTTGCTTATTTTTAATCAGATTATTAGATTTTTTTTCCAATAGAGTTGTTTGAGCTCCTTATATATTCTGATTATTGATGCCTTATCAGATGGATAGTTTGCAAAATATTTTCTCCCATTCTGTGGGTTGTCTCTTCCCTTTCTTGATTATTTCCTTTGCTGTGCAGAAGATTTTTCACCTTGATGTAATCTCATTTGTCCAATTTTGCTTTGGTTGCTTGTGATTATGGGGTATTATTCAGGAGATTTTTGCCCAGGCCAATATTCTGGAGAATTTTCCCAGTGTTTTCTTGTAGTAGTTTCATGGCTTGAGGTCTTAGAGTTAAGTCTTTAATTCATTTTGATTTGATTTTTGTATATGGCAAGAGATGGAGGTCTATTTTTATTCTTCCGCATATGGATATCAGATTTTCCCAACACCATTTATTAAAGAGACTGTTTTTTCCCCATGTATGTTCTTTTCACCTTTGTCAGAAATTAGTTCATTATAGGTGTATGAATTTGTTTCTGGTATCTCTATTCTGTTTCATTGATCTATGTGTTGCTTTTATGCCAGTACCATGCTGTTTTGGTTACTATAGGTCTGTAATATAATTTGAAGTCAGGTAATGTGATTCCTCTAGTTTTATTTATTTATTTATGTTTGCTCAGGATAGCTTTGGCTATTCTGGGTCTTTTGTGGTTCCATCTAAATTTTAGGATTGTTGTTTCCATTTCTGTGAAGAATGTCATTGGTATTTTCATAGGGCTGGCATGGACTCTGTAGATTGCTTTGAGTAGTGTGGACGTTTTAACAAGACTGATTCTTCCAATCCATGTACATGAAATATCTTTCCATTTTTTGGTGTCCACTTTAATTTCTTTCACCAGTCTTTTAGAGTTTTCATTTTAGAGATCTTTCATTTCTTTGGTTAAATTTATTCCTATGTATTTAGTTTTATTTGTGGCTATTGTAAATGGAATTACTTTTTTTTTTTTTTT